GAGGTGGATAAGCTCATGGGCGCCAACTTGGTCGAAGAAACCTCCTATGTTACTTGGCTGTCGAACGTGGTCTTCGTGCCGAAGCCATCTGGGGATTGGAGAATGTGTGTAGATTACACGAGCCTCAACAGGGCGTGTCCAACGGACGCCTATCCGATGCCTCGAATAGACCAACTGGTGGATTCCACGGCATATCATGAGATGCTGAGTTTTGTGGACATGTTCTCGGGGTACCACCAAATCCCGATGGCGGAAGAAGACAGGCCCAAGACAGCCTTCATGACGCCCTTCGGAAACTTTTGCTATCGGGTCATGGCATTTGGGCTCAAAAACGCAGGCGCCACGTATCAGAGGATGGTCAACAGCGTCTTCCGTAAGCAAATTGGTCGAAATGTGGAAGCCTATGTGGACGACTTAATAGTCAAAAGTCGAAGGCGCGAAGACCACCTGGAGGACTTGCGGGAGACGTTTCAAGCTATGCGGGCGCACAGGCTCCGCCTCAACCCGTTGAAGTGCGTATTCGGCGCCGAAGCGGGCAAGTTCCTGGGATTCATGATCACCAAGCGGGGCATCGAGGCCAACCCGAAACAGGTGGACGCCGTCCTTCAATTGGCCCCGCCAAAGGCGCCCAAAGAAGTGCAGGGCTTGGCAGGAAGGTTAGCGGCCCTGGGACGATTCATTCCCCGATCTGCGTACAAGGCCGCCCCTTTCTTCCGAACGCTCAAAAAGGCAGTACGTTTTCAATGGACTGCAGAGTGTGATGCAGCGTTTGAAGAGCTGAAGCAACTCCTGGCCGCCCCAACAGTGATGACGGCGCCCAAGGTGGGAGAGACGTTGTATCTTTATATCGCTGTGTCGGAAGTTTCGGTAAGCGCAGTGCTTGTCTCAAGGGAAGCCCACTCTGGAGAGGAAAGGCCGGTGTACTATGTCAGTCGCACCATGGTCGCTCATGAGAGGCGATATGCGCCGATTGAGAAGGCTGCGTTGGCGGTTGTGATGGCGGCAACCAAGCTTAGGTCGTACTTTCAGGCGCATACCATTGTGGTGCTCACCAATCTACCGTTGAAATCTACTTTGGGTTCAATGGATGTGGTCGGGCGCCTCGTCAAGTGGGCAGTTCAATTGAGTGAGTTTTACATCAGGTATGCGCCTCGACCGGCGATAAAGGCGCAAGTTTTGGCTGATTTCATTGCTGAGGGAGTGGCAGAATCGGAGAAGGGCACGAATGACTGTTGGCAAGTCAGGTAGACGGGGCTGCCAGTCGTACGGGCGCCGGAGCAGGTATTGTGATGATCAGTCCGGGCGGAGCAATGCACGAAGTCGCGATGCGATTCGCGAAGTTGAAAACAAACAACGCCGCCGAGTATGAAGCAGTTATCGCCGGCATTACCATGGTTAAGGAATTGGGCGCCCACAAGGTCCAGATCAGATCCAATTCGGCCCTTGTGGTCAATCAACTGTAATGATGACAATGGGAGGGAAGAGTAAGAAGACGGGATGTGGATGCAAATTAGGAAGAAATGATAGTTGCATCATTGAATATCAGAGAATTTATTCAATCCTCTAAAAAAAGTCTTTTTAGTAAGTTTCTAAGTAAACACAATATTGATATCATGGCAGTAATAGAAACTAGAGTGCAACGGAAGAAAGTAGTTAGAAATTGCAAGGATCACTTCTCTCAATGGAGATTCCTAGAGAATTATATGTGTTCATCTAATGGTCGAATGGATATCTCGTAGAGAAAATATGGTGGTTCTCCCACTGATTATTGAACAGAGTTTTGTGCATCTAGAAGTGAGGGGAAGGGGGGCATTTCATTTACCGTAGTATATTGAGCAAATGAGGAGACTGGTAGAAGGTGTCTATATGATAAAATGAGAGTTATATCAACACTAAACCAACCATGGATGGTTCTAGGAGACTTTAATACAATTTTATCAGTAATAAATGCTTCAATGGGGGCATTAACCAACAGTAGTGGAATGGATTTTAATGGATGGATTGATGCTATGCAGTTATCCGAGCATAAAATATAGGCTGAAAGATTTACATGGATACATAAGAAAGAATATAATCCGATTGCTAGGAAGATAGACAGAGTCTTCATTAATGGATCCTGGATTTCTTAGTATCATGCAAGTATGGCAAGTGCAATAACACCTGCTATGGTTTAGACCAATGCGGCAATCTAGTTAATTCCTTTCTAACTAGAACAACACTACCTAGACCTTTCAGGTATTTTTCAGTTTTGTCAAAAACGAACTAGACAGTAATCCGGATTAATGAGATATTTCAGATTTATCGGATAACCGATAATTAACAGGAATAAAACCAATCATGAAATCGGTGTTATACAAAATTTTCAAATAAAACAATAATGACTTTATGGTACATCTAAAAATTAGCTCTAATTTAGAAATTGAAAAAATCTATATCTCATATACGTATATAATAAAACAATTATTATCAAAAGTTAACCATAATAATACTTACTATTTACTAATAAGTAAGAGTGCAGAAGGTTCAAAACTAGCTAAAGAGTACAAAGGGAATAGAGGGTGTATTTGTAAATGGAGAGTGAAGGAGGCGATTTGGGGAAGTGTCTGCTAGATTAGGAAATGAACATAAAAGTGAGAAAGTGGTCAAACGAAAAGAATTAAAGACCCCCTTCTCCTTCCCTTTTCTAGCTTCTGTTTCCTTTTTAATTTTAAATTTGGCACATAAAATCTAAAACTAAAAGCTGTAAAAAAAATACCGCCAGATCGGGTCCTCCAGTTTTGCCGGTTAACCGAGCAAACCGGTTACGACCCAGCCAATCAATTTTCTGTGCGTTATGAGCCTACCGGAATCGGATGTCTGGCCGGTCCCGGTTTTTTGGTTGAACCGGACGGTCTGGTCCGATTTTGATAACAATGGTATTTTTTTATGTCGAAGTGATCATGCTAGATTCAAACATATATTTCAAGAAGTTGGAGTGCCCAAATATCAACTTATCCCTTTTACGGAGTTTTTCAGAAACTCATAATTCTAAAGAAAAATTTGAAATATCTTAATAAAGAATTTTATTTTGGCATTTCTGTAAGAGTCGAGCAAGCTAAAACTAATTTGAAGGAGTCTCAATAGGATGTCCTAGATCACCCTACATTTGCAGTCTTTGGAAAGGAGGCAAAAATAGCAAAAGAATGTGGTCTACTTCTAAGAGCATATGATATATTTTGTAAGCAAAAAGCCATAGTACAATACTAGTTAGGTGCCCGGTCTTTGGCCGGGTCTAATGTGTCACTATTGTTGAGATGTGCTTTGTTTTTCCCCATCTTGTTGTTGAACCAAAGTGTTTGCATGCTCTATATTTCTCCTATGGGTAAACAATTAAAGTTAAATTTATCCAAGTTATTGGTAAGCTAATGTGTTAAACATAAATATAGTTGTAATCATTGACATGAAAATCTACATAAAGCTTATGCATGTAATCATAAAGGTTGCATTTGTTGGAGATATTTGGTAGCTGGTGGCATCATAGCAAGCTATGCCAAGTGATTATGGTGTGGTGTCACCCTGAATCTATTAGAATCAAAATATATAGGGCTTCCAGTAACTCAATGCATCATTTGTGATAAGTTATGGTGATGAATTGTTTAGTTTTGAGTCTATGGTACTGGTTAGTTTTTCATGTTGTGGCAGTGAAAGTGTTCTTTAGATTTTGTAGGTTCGAGACGCGTAGGCATATTCTTGATGTTGTCTTCGTAATCTTCGATGCTCTTCAAAATAGATTTAAGAGACTAAGTTACACAATTTCATGCACAAAGTTGGAAGTGAAGATATACCTGTGAATCATCCCTTGGTTTTCCTTATGAAGCAGCACAGTTGTGGTCTTGTGGATATCCCTAGCTTAATCCTTGTCGGAGTACTTTAGTTTATTGGTAGTGGAAGAGTGTGGCCACTGTATGAAAGTTATAATTGATTGAAATAACAAGAGGGTTACTATTTGCCGCCCCGGTAATTACTATTTACCGCCCGTAAAAACACTAAAAAGACAATTTTGCCCTCCAAATTTTTCTTTATATTCTATTATCTGAAATGGTTTTTTAAACAACATACACACCACACGAGTCCCGGCCCACTTCCTTACTATTTGCCGCCCGTGTTTTAAATCAAAATTACATTGTTGCCCTTTGCTATTTGTTTACATTCTATTAACTTATAATTATTTGAACTAGTACCCACGTATGATTTCATTAAGGAATTTGTTTGGGTTGTCATTAATATAATAATACAAAATCTCCATATTATGGGCTTAGTCGTGTTAATTAAGGGAATTATTTTTTCTATTGTTAATCAGGGAATTGAATTAGACGTAGGTATGGAATAGGACATGTTAGTTCACTACTAAAAAAGACTCCTAAGCCGAGGGTTCGCTAGCAAGGGGCTTAATAACCCCTGCTCGATTTTCCGGAGGTAACTATAGCAACGCTTACTTCCGGGGGTCTTTTAAACCCTCGCTAGTAACTTACTGTGTTTGGCGTTTGGTTTCCTTGTCCAAAATAAATTGCTGCCCAGAGGAAAAAACTAATTCAATTTTCAATTCTCACTCGCATTGCGATACCAAAAAGTCAAAAACGAACTTCTCTCTCTCCGTCAATTCTTCGATCTCTCTCTCTATCTCTCGCTCTAGCAATTATCTCCGGCTTCTATCTTGCTCCGACGGAATCCATCGGCGAATCTCTCTCTCACACTCCAGCGGAATCAGTAGGCGATTCTCCGATTTTATGATAAGGTTATCCCTCTCTTCGGAATGAAGAAGTAAATGTGCTTTTGGTGTTTCTTTTTGAGTTCGCTCTCCCAAGTACGAGTGAAATTGAGCTCGCTCTCCTACTACTCTTTGCATTTCTTTCGCTTGCAATTGTGCTTTTGTGTATGGTAGATCAAACGATGGTCTGGTGCTTTGTGTTTGCATGGTGTGATTGTGAAGTTCTGTTTGAATTGATTGGATGAGCTCTGAAAAGAGCTAGCTGGGCGTAAGGGAGTTCTTCGCTTGCTGGCTCCATGCAAAGAGGTGTTCAAAGCTTTGACGCTAGCTAAGGTATACAATTCTTCAGCTGATTATCTTTGGGCAAGAGGTTGAGTTTTTGTAAGCTATTGAAGCGATGGTGTTTGTTTAATTGTCGCAGAAACTAGGACCAGAAGTTTACGAAGGAACCGAAGGCAATATAACTATATTGGTAAATGATTCACTCTTTGTTCTTGAATCATTGTTAAAATATTCTACATTTTCTCGATCAAACCAATCATTCTTTTAAGTGAAATGGTTTTCACAGGGAAGCTACTTTGAGATGTACCTGAGCTAATGGGCGCCTTAATCCACACCGCTAAAGATGGGGACTGGAGTAGGCTGGCAGTGGTTTCAAAGTTGAGGCAGCTGATGACAGAAATAGAAGATGAATTCGTTGAGGAAGAAGAGGTATGAAGAGATAACTTACAAGTTGTATGTGGATAGTTATACTTGCTTATTGAGTTGTGGATGATAATTTAGGCTTCAGACAATTTGGTTCTAGGATTTCAGGTTCATCGATTTGCAGGGTATCCATGGTAGTTACACCCTCATCCTAGCTTTACCAGAAATACATTTTCTCAATCATCGTTTGGTAAATTTGCAATGGAAACTCACTGAAAATCAGAAGGGGAAATGGGGAAAACCCAGTGGTAATTTTTTGGGTTACTCACCATCAAAACTTTTCTCTAGACTTCCAATTTTTTTGAACGGTTGATTGAAGTGTGGCCGGCAGTATAACACCCCTTCAAAGGAATTGTAGTTGCCAAGCTGCAAAGTGAAATCCAAGTGAAGCTCTTAATTGACTCAACTTGTAGTGTGGTTAGATGTGGTCTGAGCTCCTGTAATCGTAGATACCAGCCAACTAGATGATGGAAATAGTAGGTTTTGTTGCTGTTCATTATGGTCTGCCATAATTGATAAAACTTATTTGATTCTCCCCCAATATTTGTGTTTTGGATATCTAAGCACTCATCACACTGACATCAGATACACTGTTTTGGCCGGTTAACTGATATTGGTATTTTGCTTTCTTTAATTACGACCAAGTCCTAATGGACCGAGTACAAGAATTAGCTTGTCTTTCATAGATGTCAATTAGCTTGTCTTTTATTCACGTTAGCTTAAGTGGGAACCTCTTTCTAAGCACTATTAAGATTGTAGTTGTTCAACTTTGCTTTTGAAGTCCCCTGCTACTTTCCCTGGGGTCTTTGTATCTCTGTTCATTCATTTTCCCTTGCTTTGACAACATTGGTAGAAGTCAGTTACCTTGTTTTTCATGCATGTATGCTTAAGTGGGAACCTTTTTCCTTTCGTTGGAAGTTATGATTGTGAGAGAAGCTTGCATCTTTGCTGATTCTTCGTCTCGAGCTCTCAAGGGTGCTAAGGAATGCGATGGAGAAAGTAATGGCATGCTCTTGTTATTTTTATTTTGTTATAGTGTTTGAGTTTGAGATTGCAATTAGTCATTGTTGAGTGCTTCCGCGGTTTAAACATTTCTGTTTTACATGTTTTTGTTGACAGGTACCAGAACCATTGGTGTGATTGGTAAAATCGATCAAGTTGCTTCTGACCAGAAAGCCCTTGCAGTTGTTCAGACTCTTTTGGTAAATCAGGGGCTGCCTAAAACTGCTGATATTCAATGGGTTGCCTTAATAGGTCAATCTGCTTCTTTTGATTCTTTTGCAATCTGGGTCCCAGAACTCATTGGAGACTGCATGGAATGCAGAGAGTGAGAGTCTGAAGTCCATACTGACTGGAGCACCATAAAGTAAGCTGGGTAGAGTAGCTTTGGGGGATGCTCTGGCATAGTAGATTCGTAAACGTATGAAAGTTCGGATTCCTAACCTCCTATCAGGGTATTGATCCTTCCTTGATGAATATTCTTCTATGCTTTTATATTTGCTTTCGTCCTGTGTGGGTTTCCATTTTGTTTACCCTGTTGGATTTTCTGGGCAAGCAACATTCTGCTAAATTATTCTTCCTGAACGTAAGCAATTTAGCTGATATTATTAACTTGCTAGTTTTAATTTCATTATGGATCTGTTTGGGAAAGTTTAGGAATTCATGCTCGAGAAATATATTTTCCCTTGATGACAGGTTTTGCTAGTTCAATTTGTTGGTGTTTGTCGGTTGAACTAGCCATTGAAGAATTGGTTTCTTACTGGGAGATTTCATTATCTACCTCATAAATCATGAGGAGATAAGTAAGAACAAGGGAGGAAAGAATAGAAAAGCAAAGCATGAATCAAATGGTTCTCATTAGTTATTTGTATTCTGCAACTGCTCAGGTAAACTGTTGAACCTGTGAACTGACTCAGTTGAGCTATATTTATCTATTTTAAGCACTCTTTGCTTCTCGGGAACTGATTCCTCTACTGTCTTAGGATTCAACAGTAGAACATGTGATAGCCATTACCGCCAGAGGGAACAACGTCATGTTGATTGAAACCTCGCTGATCACACTTTTTCAAGGCCTGTTCGTACACGTCTGCAGAGCTTGGTAGAAAGGTAACGAAGAAGTACTCATTCCCTTTTTCTACCTTCTATCAAACTTCTTCCCTTCGTTCTGTTTGTATGTTTATATTGGTTGTTTTTATATGTTTTATCATTTCCATTGACATCTGAATCTGTGCAAGGGGGATGATTTATTTGTATGGTGGGGTTTCAGTAGTTTCTTTTGGAAAGGCATATTACAGAAATGTGATACATATAATAGGTTTTCAATATAAAAGGCTCATCAGGAGATTGGTTCAGTGATATGCTCATAATTTAGTTGACTATAGTTCAACCAATTGTCCATTGATGCAAAACTCAATGCATTTGTATGCTAAATCAAATTCTCTGTTTGTTTAGATTAAATAGGCCACTGTCGAACCAACCAGAACATGATCACAAGCTACCTCAAGGGCACCCTCAACTTCAGGGTAACCCTTTGCTTCTTCATTATCAGCTCAAAAAGAGTTTTGTGTTTTTCCAAGCTGCTAAACTGATGATTGTTTGTTTGTTTATTCAGGGTTTTGTGATCTCGGACTGGTAAGGAATTGATAGGATCACCAGGCTCTTGTGAGAAAATATTCTATTAGGTTGAGTTTTTTGGTGTTAAGTTTATGGCAATTCATGTTTAGCCATGTGAACAATAGTATGGATCATGAATCATGATACAGATTATGTATTGATGTATGGTATGAGTTTGGTTACTATTGAATATAAGGTTCTGAGTTTGTTTATAATGACCAGAGTATTTGCAACCAAATTATAATCACTAGTCTTTGAATTGGCCTCTTTAGCGACCGTTTTGAAGCCCTTTTAGTGACGGTTTTGATTCCGTTGCAAATTTATTTTATATTAACCACGAATAAAGCAAGGGTTTTAACCCCTGTAATAAGTAAAGTCCTATTGCAACTATTTTGTTAAGTAGCAAGGGTTTGAACCCTTAGTACAAACAAATACCTGATGGATTTTAAACAGTCATGTAGCAGGGGTTTTAACCTTTGCTACAACCCTTGGATGATACTTTCACCGTGGGTTGTTAAAAACCCTTGCTATCCATAGCAGGGGCAGCATTGGCGAAGGTTGGTGCAGGGGTTGGAAAAACCCTTGCTACAGTTTATAGCAGGGGTTAAAACCCTTGGTATAGGCCAAAAAAACCCTTGGTATAGGCCCCCTTTTTTGTAGTGGTTACAGAATTTTTTTTGTATGTCAATTAAGTAAATGAAATTAAACGTGGGTTATGAAATTAAGGAAAGACAAGTTAATTAAAAGAAATTTTTATGGTTGTCAATTAGGGATGATTTTTAATTAGGATTATTTCCATGTCTTTTCTTATATAATTATTTCCATAAATATCGGTGGATGTTAATTATAGAAATGAATATATATGTGGGTTAATTAGAGAAATTTTGGTATTTAATAATTACATAAATAAATATTTAATATTAATTATGAACCAATCGAGTTTTGGTGGAAAGAAAATGTCACCGGCGACAGGTCCGACGCAGGCAGCGACCCGTCCGAAATCTGGCGGCGGACCCCGTCCGAAATCCGGCGGCGGACCCGAAATCGCCAAAGCGAAGGCGAAGAAGAAAACGACGCCAAGATTTTGCCGGGACTGGCAGAAGAAAAAAGAGGAAGACGAATCGCCGTCGAGATTTGCCGTAGAGAAAAGAATCTGACCAGGTTTCTCGTCGTCAATGCCAGGCACCGGTCCGACGCCGGCGGGCGGACCACGTCCGATGCGCGGACCCCGTCCGACCCCGATGGGCGGACCACCGTCCGATGCCGATGGGCGGTCCCCGTCCGACGTCGGTGGGCGGATCACTGTGCTCCCTGTTTGACTCGTGCCGCTTCTTCCGACGATGGAAAAGATGGTTAGAAGTTGGAACCAATAAGAATTAAGGCACAGAGAGATTAAATCCCAATTCTCTACTCATCAACGTAAATTCAGGACCAACATTGCGAAATTAATGGAGGATTTATCTGACATAATTTAATTTAGAGAAGGAAATTGATACAGATTCCTTTGAGAATTAATTAGAGGATTAATTACCCCTTAAAGATTGCGGAAATTAGGCCCCATTTTAGTAAGTATTCAAATGTATACTTAATTACTTTTAGTTGTTAATTATGAAAATAATCATTAGACGTTGATTATTAAGGAGAAAGTTTTGTTCGGCTCATAATAAGGCAGATACAATTGGATATTGATTAATTAGAGAAATACAATTATACGTTAGTTAATTTTGGGAGGAAGTCATTATCGACCGAACTCCGGCGTCGGGGGCTTTATCTCCATCTGACCTCCGACGTCGTTCCTACCGTCTCCGTCCGAACAACGGCGTCAAAGCTGGCATCTCTCTCCGAACTCTGGCGTCGGAGCGTGGCTTCTGGTGCGAACTACGACGTCGGATCTGGAGCTTCTACCTTCTCCCTCCCCTTCCTGTTTTTGTTCTCGGTTTGTGCAGGGCTTTGGTTAGACGAAGAAGCCGATGATGTTGGTGAATGCCGCGCCGACGATAGAGAATGATGAAGTAGACGATGATTCATTAGAAGGGAAGGGTTTTAATTTTAAAATAAAACAAGGGGCAAAGTGGTCAATTTTTTTGTAACTACGGGCGGCAAATAGTAATTTATCGGGCGGTAAATAGCTATTCACAATAACAAATCAATCTAATCGAGTAGTCTACAAAGCCAGAAATAAAGTTTTACCTGTGAATCTTGCTTTGCTAACTACCCTTCTCAAGCATTGCAGTTGTGGATCATCCCTAGCTTTCTCCTTCTCGAGTATTCAGTTTATTGCTAATGGAAACAGTGCAACCACTTTATGCAAGTTATAACTCATAGAAGAACAACAAATCGATGTCATTGAACATTATCCCCTAGAAACTCAAAGTGGTACTGCTTTTTTTGAAAAAGCCTATGCATTTGTGGATCAACTTGCTATGTATGCATCTATCCTTTTGTCTCAAGATGAAAAGTGGAGCAGTCAATATTGTCTTGTTTTATTTGGGAAAGTGTGAAAGAAATCTAATGCAGCAATGAAACAGGACCAGTGAAGCCAAGTAAGAGAAGCAACAAAAAACAGAAAAAGGAACCCTGAATTTCCAAGTGATTAGAAAGCTTAACGACATGAAGAGCAGTTCCTGTAAGTAACTTACCGGTCAGTAACGGTGAGTAACCACCCCATCCGCCGTCCATTGCAATCCATTAACAACCGTCAGATGTAAAATAATAAATACACGTAGGGGTAAAATAGTAATCGACCTTCTGACAATTTGAAAAAGGTAACTGACACTTCCCCGCCATCATTATCACCAGAGAAATCGCAGACGGTTCGAGTTTCTGCTTTTTTGCTCTGCATTCACGCTATCCATTCTCTCACTCTCTCTCTCTCTCTCTCTCGCGTTTCATCTTCGCAAACTGCACCGTCGAAGTCGAATCTCGAGTTTTCAGTTCGCTTAGCAAAGGATTCCGATCTCAGTTATTCAGAGATCAAGTGAGGGTTTCCACTTCGACGCCTTCAGTGATCAAGTGAGGGTTTCCACTTCGACGCCTTCAGTGATCAAGTGAGGGTTTCCACTTCAACGTCTTCAGCGACAAAATTAGGGTTTCCAACTTAGACACGATCAAGGTAAATCATCACTTCTTTCTTCAAAAACTAGATTCGTGATTCTGAATGTCTAATTTCAAGTACATACATCACAAAAACCAAACGAAAAACTCTACTATGCTTGATGTTTTCACAATACCACACTGGTACCATGTGGTATTCTAAGGGGAAAAAGTTCTAGCAGTGGTAAAAGTACTTACAGTGAACTACATTTTATAGAAACATGTATAAACGACAACAAAACCTATTCCATACTCTGATTTCTTTACAATACCATAGTATACCATATGGTATAACATGGTATAAACACTGGTACCATATGCTATTATAAGGAGAAACCGTTCCAATAGTGGTAAAAGTACTTACAGTGAAATACATTTTATAGAAAAGTGTATAAAACGACAACAAAACCTATTCCATACTCTGATTTTTTTACAATACCATAGTATACCATATGGTATAACATGGTATAAACACTGGTACCATATGGTATTATAAGGAGAAACCGTTCCAGTAGTGGTCAAAGTAAAAATGAAAAAGATTTTATAGGAAAAGTATAAAAACCTATTCTATGCTCAGATTTTCTTACAATACCACACTGGTACAATATGGTATTCTAAGGAGAAACCACACAAGTACTGGTCAAAGCCACTACCTCAATTATTCATTTGCTTACTGATAGAATATGGTATAGTATGGTATGCTATGGTATGGTAGTTGGTGTTTTTGCTTACTGGTAGAATATGGTATGCTATGGTATGCTATGGTATGTTATAGCAATTCTTCTATTCTGGATGCAGGTACATCATGTCGAGACATAGGGACAAATTTCGAACAAGGTGCAGCCCGACAAGAATCAATGCACTTTCAAGAACATTAACAGCTGAACAGAGGGAAAAATTGCAGGAATTAGGCCTTGATGGCTTAACATCCATCCAGCAAACAAAGATAAACACGAACTTTGCTCTATTCACAATGAGCAAGTACAATCCGATAAAGAAAGCATTCAAGCTGCCTGGTGGAACCTACATGAAGATATCACCAATTGACTTTCATAGAGTTTATGGTCTACCAATGGGTAAAAAGGAAGTGACGCTCAAGAAATTATCAGTGGAAGAAGCAGTAGACTATGCGACGCAGGTCCTACTAGAACTAGAAGCTCCAGCTACAAATGGAAGGGTGAAATTAGCTAATGTAGAGCATGACATTTCTAATGCTCATACCATTGCAAGATGGATCAAGCTGTTCTGGATTCTGGTTACGGGAGCTCTACTGTGCCCATATTCAAACCCTACTGCTGAGTTGAATGTGCTGGAGTACTTGCAGCCGGACACAATCAACCATTTCAAAGAATACAACTGGTGCAAGTTCTTCTTCGACTACATGAATCACGGGTTGACTGCAAACACCGTGTACATCAATGCAGATCTTCATTTCTTAACAGTAAGTATCTATACCCACAATAATTCCATTTTCAATTACTATACCCTAAAAGCTTTACAAATCCTAGTACATCAAATACTAATACAACTGTTTCTCCTTGCCACAAACAAATAAAAGGTATGCTTCATGTACAAGTTGGATGAAATGGCCTTCTCCACCCAGTTCCAAATCCCAACAGCAAGCTACTATGATGACACTGCTGTGCAAAGGAACTTTGAAAACATAGTGAGCTACTATGGTGGAGAAGAACTCCATAAGCTGATGAAGATACAGGACAAAGAAGAGAAGATTGTCGACATTGACAGTGATGATGATGACAACAACACAGACCAACAACCATCAGCATCACTAATATTTGATTTGAAGATGATCAAGACTGTCCCCCAAGTAAGTATAAATTACCATATGTTACAAATTGTCCAATTCATACAACTAAAATACCACACATGAACCATGGTGGTAATATATGGTATTATACTGTATAATGCACATACCATTCAATACCACCATGGTAATATGTGGTATTCTACTGTAAATATTAACTTACAGACCAAAAATGACTAATGCAGGCTGAGAGAGCACTGAAGATGGTGAAAACATCAATGAAAGCTATGTTGCTATCAATCAAGAAGCAGT